GAGCCTCATTGTCAGGAAAAAAAACATTTAAAACAGGATATGTCAATCCTCTTTGTAGGAAACTGCAGTTTGGAGGTACTTACACTTACTTGACTTTCAAGATACTTCAGGTGTCTTTCTGTAATTAGATTAATTTTCACATATTCTTCTACACTTATCTCTTCTTCAATGCATTCCTGAATCATTTTTTTGTTTTCTATCTTCTGTCATTGTCCCTGGCCAGTGAGCTGTTTTAGGAACTTTGTATTATATCCTCTGCAGAGATTATGGAGGAGAACAGTGAGGTGTACAGCAAACCTTGGAGCATTGTTTTAAAACTTAACTCTCCTGGCTTCATAGTGATACACACCCTAAAGGCCAGGAGGTGCCTTAAATCACATAGTTTAATCTACTTGCTATCACAAAGTCTACTTACTGCCATACTCCAACCTGTTTTGGGTTGGCCCAACATGTTTATTTTGGCATAGATTTTCTCTCTGAAAGGTAGCCAAACTCCAAATAAAGACTTCAACTGAAAGCTAATCTAGGCCCTCACCTGAAGAGCCTCTTCCACTGGCTAATCACTCTTACTGTAAAACAAGTTTTGTTTCTGCCTGGCTTTCTACAACTTGTCATCTGTTTGGGAGAGGCAGTTTTAGGTTTGAGAAATCCATGGATTTAGTTTCTGAAGTGCATCTTCTTATGGACCTTAAAGAAAATAAAAAAGTTGGGCTCTCCTGTTGTCCACTCTGCCAATGTCATGATAAAAGCAACCAATCTCTTTTAATATAAAGTTTTGTTAAAGCAGTGATTTTTAGATGCAGGAAAAGTCATCTATATTTATATAGTTATTCTGTTTACTTGTACCTTTGTATATATTACCAGCAAGTAAGTCTATTCCTTCCAAGAGCTTTTCCCTGTACATCAGTAGAAGGCATGATATCTCATTTAACAAGAGAAAAAGGGAGATAATCTGGAGAAATAAAAGGTAGCGTAAGGGATGGCAAAACTTGGTATTTTTCAGCAAAAAAAAAAAAAAAGAAACTTAAAGCAAAGGAAAATAATGAAATAGTTTGACAAAACACTTGACTAGAAAATGCAAGTGGTCTAATCAGGAAGAAGAAAATCCAAGAGACAGTGAAGAAATAGATGAATTTTAGAAATAAATCACTGAAATTATAGCCTTTAGCACTCTTTATACTTGATTTCCTAAATTGTCCATAAATTGTTTGAGATAAAAAGGTATAAACACAGAAAATGTATATGTAGTGTGTAGTTACTTCAGGTTGTGTGTTCACACTTTAGCCTGAATTCCTTGTTCCCACTCCCTATGTGTTGTCTTTGTCTGGCCATTGCCTAGAGTGCAGAATTTGCCCTCTGGGCAGGAAAGAGAAGGTGTAGAAGGGGATAATCTTACACTCAAGCTTTGCTCCTGCGGGCATTTTCAGTGTTACCAGCTCATATTACTTGCACCTCCAAGCTCAGGCCTGGACTCCAGACCAGCCACTTTGACAGTGTGGACAAAGTCAGGGTGACCAAAGATGATTTACTACTACAGCTGCGAGATCTGCCTGATGGAGGTGGCCCTTGTGTGGTCCACTGCTTCCAGTTTGCCTTCAGGACTGACCCGTATGTATGTATACGGACTGGCATAGCCAAGAAAAAACCTGTCCTCTGCAGATGGGGCTGCAGCAGGTTGGACTAAAGAAGGTAAAAACACAGAGCAAGGCCTGATAAGAAGAACTTCAATGGTCCTAAAAGGCTAGGGTCTTGGTTTTATATCTAATAACCTGGTAACTGAATCTAGAAGGAACTTTCCTGACTCCCATCACTTCCCCTTACACAGGGGACTCCTTACACTGAATGGTTGGCACTTTTATGAAAGCTTAGGCTTGCTTACTTGGCTGGGAACAGATACTAGGGCTTTAGTTTCACTGTAAAACAAGGCGTTTCCAACTGTTTATCCAACAGTAAGAAGTTAACCAAAATCTGGGCAAAAAAAAAAACCCTTAAGCTAGGTTCTGATAGTCTTCTAATGCCTTCCCACATCAATCTGGGTCTGTGTTTTCTGGCTTGTGTATTGACTGCTCATTCACTGTCTGTATGCTTAAATCTGCCTCCTGGCACACACACACCTGACTAACATTTCAATTGTTGTATCATGAGACTCCATTTCTGCACTGCTCTTCTCTGGGCACTCAGCTGCAGAAGTCCTAGTCTGCTGGCAGTGGACCAGAGGATCAGAGTCTGGGTTGTAGCTAACTACAGCAGGGAACATTCTGCTGGAAGGGTCATTCAGTCTCCATACTTGTGTGGAAAATTGCCTGGGAAGGAACTGGCATCAGGATGGCATGAGTAGGTTATAAGGCTGGAGAATGCCTACTGCAAGGCAAGCAATGGTGAGTGTGGGTAGTGTAATTCTCTGACTACTTGCTTTTACTGTAGGGAGTTTGTTCCACCCTGAGTCTTTAAGCTGTTCACCCTAGGATATCTGGAATATGGAGCCTCATAGGCATGCAGAACTTGGCTTTCACTGGAACTCCCACACACATCTTATAGGGACAGGACCTGAGCACCTTCTCAGTCCCTGCATGAAATGTGCATCAGTGCAGTCCCAGTATGGCCATGGATGTTTAGATAAAAGGTGTATGTAGCTCTGCAGATGAATACTCCAGAGCAAGGGCAATGAAGATGCTCGGGGACATGCTGTTACACTGCTCAAATTGTCTCCTGCTTTGCACTGCTCCTTTAAAGAAAGGTTTTATTTCCTCTTCTGGACAGCTGCACCTCAGGAACAGGCAGGAATGTGCTAACGTGCATGTATGCTTATACAGTTTTGCAGAGCTTGTAAAAGTCTTTGAGAAACATTTGGCAATGAAAGGCTGCATCTGAGCATGTCTTTGTAACCTGTATGAGCTTTATAGACACACAGAAAGTAAATTAATTGCCTATTTTAAAAGCATGTGCCAGAGTTTCCTTCATACAATGTTCCGTCAGGCTGTGAGAAAAAGTCCCCCTCATTTCTCCTCATCTGTGTTCAAGGTAAGATTTGTAGGGTGATGTTATGGCCTGAACAAGCCTGCTGCTCCTGCCCCCCCAATACCACTATGTTTTAATGAAATGGTTTCACGTTAAATCAGGAACAATATTAAGATAAGGATCATGCATCCTCCAGCTTCAAATGTTTATTTCCTCCAAGAAGATGTGGGATTTTGTTGTCACTGTCAGATGCTATCTCCAGTCTCAGCCTACTGAGTTTGCCTGGAGCAGGTTCTCAAAATCCAGTCTCAAGCCCAGGGAGGGGACTGCTTCTGATGATGAAGCTGTTTCCTCTTCTCCACTCTTCATGAGGAGAATTTCTTCAATTTCTGTAAATGGACATCCTTACATTTCAGGCTCTGTGAGGAGGGGAAAAGAAACCAAGCACCCAATTGTCTCTGATGTGCTTCCTGCATGCACATTATGCTCTTCCCAGCAATAAGCATGGAGATATTCATCCTTCTTGTTAAAAGCAAAGGGTAGCAATGGCTATGCCTAAAAAGCCTCATGTCCACCTTGCTGCAGGGCTCGGCAGCCAGCAGCACGAGGGGGCCCTGGGCATGTGGCAGTCTGGGGTGTTTGGGGAGGGGCAGCCATGATGTCTTCTGACAGTGGGGTCTTTTGGAGCTGATGTCCTCTTGTTTAGACCCTGAATCTAAAATAACCCTTTATTTTTATTTTACTTTATTTTTTAGTTGCTTAGGACAGCAATTAGGTAAAGCCTGGTAGGGCCTGAGGGGCAGGTGGGGACCTGGTGGCTCCTGGGGAAAGGAATGGCCACCACTCACTTCTCCACATGTTGCAAATGGCATATGGAGGGCCCAGGGATTTCTTGGTTTTCTTTTTTTTATTATTAATTCTTTCTTTTTTTTTTTTTTTTTTTGAAACTTAGTTAAATAAAGCCTGCCTTGCAGTTCAGGCAACAGAGATGCTTGAGCGCTCTCTGAAAAGTGTTCGTACTTCAGCAAGTTACTTCGCCATGGGCCTGCTGCTGGCTCTGAGGAGCTGCCCACCTTACCTTCCAGGAGGAATGTGCTTCTGTCTGACAGTGGCTTGGGGGTGTTTTGCTGCTTTTCTGTACTTCACAGCTGCAAATTCCAGTTTTATCTCTGCTCGGTGGTTTGGTGGGTCCCTGCTGGGCCACTGGAACAGATGGACAGCATTTCGGGCTATTCCCTTCCCTTGCAGAGGCATTGGCAGAGCTGAAGATATTGCATAAGTATGTCTCCCTACAAATGAGAGATGTCATGAAGGGGCTGCGTGTTGAGTTTGGTTGTCTCGGCATTTTAAATGTGCTGGGGCAAATAACTTAGATATTACCCTGTGTATTTCAGGTTATCAGGGAAAACATAGAGATAAGGCATGATTGTCAATTAGTAGTAACACAGAAGTGTTTAAAAGAACCAGAATAATTTTGTGTGTGTGTATATATATATATATATCACTTCCTTCTTTTTGAGAAAGACATTTTCTGAGCCAATTTTTTTTTTTTCTATTTCAAAGAAAACTGCTTTCATCAGTAAGATGGAGCCAGATTTGGGCTCAGAAATTGCAGCAGAATGAAATGGATTGCTACTCTCCTCCTCCTGCTGCACATTGTTTTTAAATAACTTAGTTTTACATAATTGAAATGCTCTTTTCCCCCCACCAATATTTTTTATTGTTTTATTTGTAATTTTCATTGTTTGAAGCATTTATTTATTGTGTTCACTGTTAGCACTGATGTAGTACATACAGTATGACATGCGATTCAAACATTCTATTAATTAAGCTTTATTTTTTATTGTAAATGTACTTTAGAGTGGCTTCGGCTCAGTACTGACTGAAATATTTTATCTTCCTTTTCTGTGTCAAAGCATCAAACTATCCTATGAGAGAAAAAAAATATATTTTGATCCCTACCAGGCAGCAGCTGCCCTTTATGGTTTTAAAAGTAACTATTTTTGGTAGAATAAAAGGATATTTAAATTACGATATGTCATGTTATGACATGTCGGTGTAAGGCAGTGAATAATTGTATTGATTAATCATGAAATAACAGGAAAATATGAAGTAAAAGAACTTCTGTAAGATAGAATATATTTTAAAATGAAAATTCAAACTCCTAAAATTGATTCTGGAAACAGATTTCATTTAACCCATTTTAACCAGCTCCTAATTCTTGTTTTCCTCCAGATTACCATTTACTGGGAAACTGATGAAATACTTGGTTTTATCCTTCGATCAACTCCAGACTTCAAAACATTAAACTTTGATGAGAAAAGAAGTTCAGAGCTTTAATCAGCTGTAAAATGAGTGTGTGCTGCTGGACTACAGTTGCAAGATGATCTCAGGTAACTCTTTTTCTTGTCTGTATTTCATGACTTCATGCTGCTATGCATATACAGTATAATATCAATGATCATGATACATTGAGAATATTACTTTTGTGAAACCTGATTGTAGAGATTGTATGCATAGAGTTTTATGTTAGAATTTAAAATGGCTAAAAAGCTCTATACAGCATCTGATATACAAGATCAGTTTTAAGTATGTGCTTAAGTTCCTTGTGACAGCAAGAGAACTTAAGTATGAGCCTACAAATAAGCAGATGAGTATCCTGTAAAGGCTACCGCATTCCCTTGACCTCTCCTTTCCACTGAAATGCTTGTGGTATTAATGCCACTGCAGTTGCATTGCTGTACAAGGTGGATCATCTCAGAACCAACCTAACAGGTGAAAAAAGAGCTCTGTTTGCAGACAAATTGGTTCCCTGACCTGGATCACTGTTTGGCTACTTGATTGCTGCACGAAAGCCTTCAGAATGGAACAGGAGCATGCTAGTGTGCTTTAGGGTAAAGGCAAGAAAGAGGCAAGCAGGCTCAGCCAGTGGCAGCATAGATTTGTATTGGGTTAAAATAACCATTTAAGCACAGCCTAAGTAACTTCAAGCTTTGTTTACTTGCGTGCATAAGACTCTTTGGGTATACTAGTTCCTGGCTAACAGAACAAGTAGATACAATGCCATGTGAGCGCAACGGCTACAGATAAATGTAACACCCGTTTACTCCACCCCAATCAAACAATTCCAATGTATGTATCCTTTTGTGGCCAAAACATGTGAGCACTGAGAATGCAAAAATGGGAGTACCATGTGATAGCCAACGCCTGTCTACTTTTAACTTTTTTCTAATCCCTCTCCTGTGACAGCATCTGGTGAATTTAAACTACTTCCTGCACATCTAGTAGATAGCGCCCTGTGCAGTTTAAGTGAATGGAGGGTGCTGACAATCCCAAACTCTCTGTATACATGGGAAATGAGCTGCTGATCTGAACAGATAAGGGTTGCAGCTTCCAGGATGACCACAAAATTTGCTTAGCTTCACCTCTGAGTGCTGGGGCCACTACCTGTCCCTGCCTGCATAGCAGTGAGAAGACAGGAGTGTTACCTCTGCAGCCTTGGGTGCATTCTGGAGTTTCTAGTGACTGCGAGCATTTTACCCTTACGTGCTAACAGCTGGGACATGTCACAAATGCCCTTTAGAATGTCTGAGGAGAGATTTCAATGAGAACATGCTCTCAGTTTACTCTTCTGGATCCTCTTGGCTTAACATTTACCACACTAGGCCTGGAAAGATTGATTCATAAGACCAGTACTCAGAACATTTTATCTACCATCACATTAAAATGCATTAAATGCACTTACAGTTAATGGTGTTAGATAACTGAACAGCCTCATTGGAACTGCCCTCCAGTTTTTGGGTACAGTCAATCCATCCTGATTCTGGTGCTGCAGTTAAATGCTGTCACATTCTTTACCCCTTCACACTCCTCCGAGCTTGTCCCCAGCTATTTCTCACACCCCACTGCATAAAGAACTTATTTTGTCTCTGATTTGGTGGCCTAATTGTCTGTGTTAGTACTCCATAACCTGTTTCAATCAAAGTGAGGCTACTGTGGCAGCAAACCCTTACTGTATAAACTGCTTCAATTAACTTAGCTTATTTTGACTGAGTTGGCAGATGGAAGAGGACAACAGGCAGTCAGTGATCAGTAGTGACTTCTGTGATGCTGGCTTTAAAATGAGGTGACCGGTGCCTTTTCCCAGCTGCTCCTCTGCTTATGTAGGAAGCTGGAATGATAATCTCTCTGCATTGTTCTGTAGGTCATTTCTCCTACAGCCAAGTATCTTTGCCACACTCAGATCCCAAGTTAGGACTCATCTGAAGTGGCACACATAGTCCTTTGCTGAGCTGATGCAGTTCTGGCAGAGATTTGCAACAATGAAAGACAGTTTTCTCCTGCACTGTGCATTATTTATGAGCATTAGATTTTGCTTGGCATCATATAGCTCCTGTCCATCCCTCTGGAAAATCTTATTGCCTGACTAACCTAAATAACTGCACCATTTGGCAGTGCGGCTGTCTCCCTGCCTAAATTCCCTTTCCAGGTCATCAGTGCCTGTATTTAAAGAAAGCAGACCTAGTGTGGCACTGGAAGGGTCTCATTGCCACCTTTGGCCATGAGGAAAATTGACTCTTGATTTTCATATTGTTGCTTCCTGATTTTTAAATCATTTTTACTGCATGATATTACCTGGATTCACAGCCCAAGATAATTTTGAGGATGCAAGGTCCACACGCTCTAAAAATTTCAAGGGGCTTTTATTTTAAATTTGGTCTGGCCTGGTCCCATAACGTGACCACCAACCAGCAACTGAAGTACATTCAGTGCATTCCCAGAGTGCATCTTCTGGTTTCTTCTGAGAAAAATTTAGATTGTCTTCTCTGCGACATCAACACAGCATATTAAGTGAAGATGAAGAGATTTGCTTTAAAACCATGCTCCTGATCTGAACTGAAATACTAACGCAGACAAATCCTGAAAGGACCTCTAGTTGATTTGTTTTAATGCTTTGGGCTATTTATTTTTCAAACTCAATTTTGGCTCTTCTGATTTCCCTCTTGTTGGTTTTTTTTTTTTTTTGTTCACAGTCATTTATCATTGTCTTCATTATGACTAGTTTTCCAAACATACAACTGCATGCTCGTCCAGCCTGAATAGCCTCTTGAATTTTCCCATTTAGCCATATGCTATTTCCTTAGGGCGTTTCATTAATGAACTACCATTGCTAATGATGATTCTGTGTTGGCCCCAGGTGGTTTGTGTCTTTTCCATTTCTAATTTCAATGATTTGTGAGTCTGAACACAGTACCTCTCCAGCTTCCTCCTGCCCTCCCTCCCCTTCATGTAACAATTATACATTTATGAATGCATTTGTCATAGTTGATTATCTAGGACTTACAACATGCTTGTTTCACAAGTGTCATTTCTACTCTATTGTTCCTTAGGTCCTTGTTCTCATTTGCTTGGAAGAAAGACAGAATGAGCAATTACTGTCAGCTGCTTCACAATTGAAATGAGGGACCGGCCTTCTGAACTGTTCCAGGAGATGGAGCAGAGCAGTGCACTTTACCTTGATGAAGAACCTTCCTGAAGTTTATATATGGTCTCACAGTAGTGTGAAGGATGACTGTAGGGAAAGTAGCTCAGTAGCTAGGAAAAGTCACCTCAAAGTCAAATGGTCAGAAGCGGATTGAGAAGTTAACTGTGTGCCATTTATTTTCATGGTAAGGTTGTAGAAGACATTTGGAACTAGACTTTGCTAGCTGCCTGTCACCATAGACCTTTTAAAGTTCACCTTTCAGAATGCACAGATTCATTTTACAGGTGGATTTGCATATTCCAGGCTGGCAGATGCACACGCAATTAGATGGCTGATTATATGTGAACAATTCACTGAGTTATTATCTCATTTACGCTCAGCAACTGGGAGACTGCAGGCAGGTATCATTATAAGAACTGGATTCTTTACTGAAAAATTGTCAGTTCTGGCATTTTCCTGGTCACCCTTTGCAGTCTGTAAAATCAAGAAGTGTGGCAGCTGTATAAAAGAAGCCTACATTTTGACTCCCAAGTTCAGCCACATTCAACATCAAATCAAAATTGCCTAATTATAGGCTTGCCTACTACAGTGGCTTAAGTCCTACTTGTATGCATGAGAACATTTTCGTGAGCACATGTGGTCTGGTTTTCATGGGTGCAGGGCATCAAAAAGACAGTTCATGAAATTCTGGGTTTGGCCTGACTCATCAAATTTTTACCGCAGTGAAAACATTCTTAGGCTGGGAACAAATGTGCTCTGGCAGTTCTTCATCCTGGCGAGTTTGCCTGAGGTGAGGTGTCATTCAGGAGTCAATTCCTTAGATGCTTTCCCACCTCTGCATGTTTTCACTGATTCCAGGGTAAAAGCTTTTTTGCAGCTTTGTGGCAGAGATGAGCCTTGCTGCTGTAGGGATTATTTGTGCATCAAACAGCATGGGCTGCAGGGCAAGGTGGGTAATTTTGGCTCCTGCTGTTCCTTCTTGGCCCTCTCTAAGTGCCAATGTGTTGTTTGATCTAATTCCTGGGAATGCTGTCAGAGATAATCGATCCCAATTTTTCTGAATATGCTCAGCTTCCAATTAAGGCTCTGCATACAGAGAGATCTAGTGCAGATAAGGTATGCCTTGTTTACTCCTTAACCAGATGGGTGTACCAAAGGGAAGCAGCACTGACTCAGGTACTGCAAGCTGCTCCTCAGACCCAAGGGATTGAGAAGCATCCATCTTGTCTGAATTTTTCATATTGTTCTGTAGGAAAACTATAATAAGTTCAGGTTTCCCTTACAGCTGAGCCTTTACTGAGGCAAAATTGAATTAGTCTGCTCATTGCTTCTTTTATCGCCTGATAAATAGCTGTCACAGCAAATGGATTAGGGCTTGCTAATGCTGACTTTTTCTTTTTTTTCTTCTTTTTTTTTTTGTGTGTGAGAAATCTCAGGCCTTACATCCCATCTCTTAGCTGGGGGTTTCTCTAATTGAATGAGGTATCACTTGAGGTTGAAACCTAAACTGCTGCTCCCCTTCCTTACCCCCAAGGAAGGGGGACTAGTTGGATTAAGCTAACCCTCTTGACTCAAAACCTCATTGACTTGGATATTAAATGACATTCCAGATGGGACCACACTAGGAGCTCTGTGCTCTGTTCTGGGCATCGCAATACCAGAATGGGCCTCTTCTCACTCCAGTTTCATTTGTAATGTGGGCTGTGTGGTGCTGTAGGGCAATGTTTGACCTAAAAATGAAGGAATTATTTTCATATGTCCCCAAGAGTGGCACTTTCAGCCATGGTGAAGTTAGTGTCATCTTAAAACAATTGATTAGAAGAAGTAGTGGCATCTTTCCCAGAAACTGTACTCCCTGGCATGACAATGTAGGATGTTTCCTTGATGTAGTAGACTGCATGTGGGAACTGCGAGGGTACAGTGGGCAACTTGAGTTTGGGTTTCTTTCAACTAGCTGAACCTAGGAAATGAGCTGGGAAGTGACTGCATCTGACTCAGTCAATGCAGACAGTGAGTAGAAATGAATGGAGGACTACAAACTTGCTGAGGCTTTCTTTTCTTTTCTTTTTTTTTAAGTGCTTTTCTGGCCACGTGCTCTGGACATCCAACCAGCCAGGTAACCTCCTTATCAGCTGTGGGATAATAGAAAGGCTTGTGAGGGTTTTGGTTCAGTAGCTGATGTTTGTCTGTGTGACCTGGGTCAAACAGCACAAGGCTATGTGGCAGGCTCAAGCTGTAAACTGTAAGGTGCTTAGGGCAGGGATGTGGACTGAAACTGGGTCTACTGAACAGCAGTTTTGTGGTGGAAATCAGCAGGGCTCCACTGACTTGTTGTGATGGGTATTTCCTGAAACAGAGAAGCAGACCTTCCCTTGTTCCACAATGTGGCATCTGCATTTATGATGGCAGGCAAATAGTGCAGAGCAGCCCCTTGAAGTGTTTTCATGGGGGTTGGAGTGGTGGAGTAGCTGCAGGCAGACAACACAAACAGTTATTCTGCTCATTGCACCCACCAGCAAGTTGGTGTGAACTCATGCCAGTGCATATGGGCTGCCGCTAAGCAGGGGCAGGTTTTTGGCTGGGACAGCATGGTACATGTAATCTTATTTTAAGATTTGCTCTGCTAAACATGTAGATTCCCTTATTGGGACTGTTGAGAAAACAGAAGCTTAATCTCCAGGGAAGTGCAACATTTCCATGGGGCTGAACCACCTTCCTTCATTCCTTCATTCCTTCTTTATTTCCTCCTCCCTTGTCTGCTTCACAGCATGCTGTAGAGTGAGTTCAAAAACACACACTGCACAGAGAAAGTAAAACTGTCAGTGCATTAAAATGGGTAGCCCAGTGTAGTAAAACGTGGCAAAGCTTAGCTGCAGGCAGCAAGGCAGGGAATTAGCCTCGTGCTGTTAAGAAATAGATGTGTTTTCCTACAAAAAGAAAACTGTAAATCTGTCTCTCTATGATATGACAGAAATCCTCACTGGGATGGAAATACAGCTACTAGGGCAGCACAGAATCTCTGTCCTTCCTTGGCGCTTGCTGTTGGGCCCATCACAATGACTGAACCAGGTTGTGAAAACCAGGTATGGAGGAGAGGATCTCTAGGCTTCAAAAAGTGCTGGCTGGTTTGCAGGGGATGTGACGGCCCTTTTTGGGGAGCTTTGGCACTGCGCCCACATGTGGGAAACCTCCATGCTGAACATTCTATTTGCTTTTATTCCAAGTGGTGGGGTGGCTGGGGGGAAGGTCAGGGAGCTGTGTTCAGGGAGTGAGGCTAACTCTCATATTCTGCCTGGGTGAGGTCTTCAGCTCAGGGATGACAAATCCGTATCCTGGAAAGCCCCATATCCTGGGCTGCATCAAAAGGAGCATGACCAGCAGGTCAAAGGAGGTGATCCTGTCCCTCTGCTCTTGTGAGACCTCACTTGGAGTATTTTGTATACTTCTGGTGTCCTCAAAATAAGAAGGACATGGAGCTGATGGGGTCCAGAGTAGGGTCATGAGGATGTTAAGGGCTATCCTTTCCATAAGAAGACAGGCTGAGAAAGTTGGGGCTGTTCAGCCTGGAGAAGGCTGTATGGAGACCTCATAGCAGCCTTCCAGTATCTGAAGGGGGCCTACAAGGATGCTGGAAAGGGACTCTTCATTAGGGACAGTAGTGATAGGACAAGGGGTAATGGGTTAAAACTTAAACAGGGGAAGTTTAGATTGGTTATAAGGAGGAAGTTCTTTACTGTAAGGGTGGTGAGACACTGGGAAGGGTTGCCCAGGGAAGCTGTGAATGCTCCATCCCTGGCGGTGTTCAAGGCCAGGTTAGACAGAGCCTTTGGGTGACATGGTTTAGTGTGAGGTGTCCCTGTCCATGGTAGGGGGGTTGGAACTGGATGATCTTAAGGTCTTTTCCAACCCTAACTGTTCTATGATTCTATTCTATGATTCTGTCCCTGGTGGTCTAGACACAGAGTGTGTTGCTGCAATTGTTTTGCAGATGCTGAGGTGAATGTGTGCAAATTTTGCACTTCCAAGATCCCCTTGCTTCTCCTCCTTTTTTTCTAGCCAAAGAAGCAAACTGGCATTCTCTGGCAGCAGAGCTAGGCTCAGTGTTGCCCCTCTGGGCTGAATGCTGTTTACTATCAATTCAATGCCATTTGCTATCGGTTCAATATCAGTGTTACTGCTAATAAGCTGTTTGAAGCCGTTTTGAGTTCTTAGCACCAGACTTGGCTCTCTGGGTTTTGGATTGCACTGTATACAAAAATTTTCTTTTAATGTTATTTTCAAATGCCATTACAACCAGAACACAGATAGCTTAATGCCAGGTTGGAAAGGACTTTGGGCAACTTGGCCTAGTGAAAGGTGTCCCTGCCCACGGTACGAGGTTTGAACTAGATGATCTTTAAGGTTCCTTCCAATTCAAACCATTCTATGATTCTATTGCACCAAGCTTGTAAGAAAGACAATCCCATAAGACGTAACATTTACATGAACTCTCATCTGACTGCTTATGAAAAAACAACAAGGTGGTTGGTGCATTAGGGCAAATTCTGCCTGACCCAATTTGGTGGCCTTCTACAGACTGACGGATGGGGTAGAGCAGCTGACATCATCTACCTGGACTTGTGCAAAGCGTCTGACACTGTCACACATGACACAGAATCATATCATAGACTTGTTAGGGTTGGAAAGGACCTTAATATCACCCAGTTCCAACCCCCCTGACATGGGCAGGGACACCACACACTAAACAATGTCACTCAAGACTCTGTCCCGCCTGGCCTTGAACACTGCCAGGGATGGAGCATTCACAGCTTCCTTGGGCAACCTGTGCCAGTGCCTCACACCCTGACAATAAAGAATTTCCCCTGTTCAAGTTTTAACCCATTACCCCTTGTCCTATCACTGCAGTCTCTCATGAAGGGTCCCTTTCCAGCACCCTTGTAGGCCCCCTTCAGATACTGGAAGGCTGCTATGAGGTCCCCACACAGCATTCTGTTCTCCAGGCTGAACAGCCCTAACTTTCTCAGCCTGTCTTCATATGGAAGTGCTCAAGCCCTTATCATCCTCACGGCCCTTTTCTGGACTTGCTCCATCAGCTCCACGTCCTTCTTATTGAGGACACCAGAAGTATATAAAATACTGCAGGTGGGGTCTCATAAGAGCAGAGTAGACGGGCATGATCACCTCCTTTGACCTGCTGGTCACACTTCTTTTGATGCAGCCCAGTGTATGGTTGGTTTCTGGGCTGTGAGCACACACTGCAGCCAGCTCATGTTCAGTTTCTCATCAACCAACACCCCAAGTCCTTCTCAGCAGGCTGCTCTGAACCTCTTCTCGCTCAACCTGTAGATGTGCCTGGGATTGCCCTGATCCAGGTGTAGGACCTTGCACTTGGCGTGGCTGAACCTCATGAGGTTGCCATTGGCCCACCTCACAAGCGTGTCTAGGTCCCTCTGGATGGCATTGCTTCCCTCCAGTGTATCAACCGAATCACATAACTTAGTTTCGTCAGCAAACTTGCTGAGGGCACACTCAATCCCACTGTCCATGTCAGCGACAAAGATATTGAACAAGATCGGTCTCAACACTGACCCCCTAAGGACACCACTCATTACTGGTCTCCAACTGGACATTTCGCCATTGACCACAACTCTTTCCATGTGGCCATCCAGCCAGTTCTTTATCCACCAAGTGGTCTGTCCATCAAACTGATGACTCTCTAGAGACAAGGATGTCATGGGGGACAGTGTCGAATGCTTTGCACATATCCAGGTAGATGATGTCAGCTGCTTTGCCCCTATCCATCAGTTCTGTAGCCCCATCATAGAAGGCCACCAAATTGGTCAGACATGATTTCCCTTTAGTGAAGCCATGCTGGCTGTCACCAACCACCTTGTTGTTTTTCATGTGCATTAGCATGCCTTCCAGGAGAACCTGCTCCAAGATTTTGCCAGTCACAGAAGTGAGACTGACTGGTCTGCTATTCCCTGGGTCATTCATTTTCCCCTTCTTGAAAATGGGGGTTATATTTCCCTTTTTCCAGTCATCAGGAACGTCACCTGACTTCCATGATTTTTCAAATATGATGGACAGTGGCTTAGCAACTTCTCCAGCTCCTTCAGGACCCACAGGTGGGTTTCATCAGGTCCCATGGACTTGTGCACATTCAGGTTCTTAAGATGATCTCGAACCAGATCCTTTCCTACAGTGGGCCCAAGGTCTTCATTCTCACAGTTCTTGTGTCTGCCTTCCCAGACTTGGGTGGTGTGGTCAGAGCATTTCCCAGTGAAAACTGAGGCAAAGGGGTTATTGAAAAGCCTCAGCCTTCTCCAAATCCAGGGTAGGCAGTTCTCCTGATAGCTTCTAGAGAAGGCCCACATTATCCCTAATCTGTCTTTTGTTTGCTACATACGTATAGAAGCCCTTCCTGCCATCTTTCACATCCCTTGCCAGATTTAATTCTAACTGCGCCTTAGCTTTCCTGATGTGGTTCCCAGCTTCCCAGACAATGTCTGTGTATTCTATCCAGGCTGCCTGTTTTCACTTCCACCTTTTATAAGCTTCTTTTTTCCCCTCTAAGTTTCCTCAGCAGCTCCTTATCCACCCATGGAGGTCTCCTGGCCCTCCTGATGCATTTCCTTCTAGCCTAGCAACACTCCTGAGCTTGGAGCAGGTGATCCTTGAATATCAACCAGCAGTTTTGGGGCCCCCTGCCTTCTAGAGCTATATCCCATGGAACTATACTAAGCAGGTTCCTGAAGAGGCCAAAGTCTGCTCTGTTGAAGTCTGGGGCAGTGAGCTTGCTGCACGCTCTTCTCACTGTCCTGAGGATCTTGAACTGAACCATCTCATGATTGCTACAGGCAAGGCTGCCCTGGAGTGTCACATTTCCAGCAAGCCCTTCCCTGTTGGTGAACATGAGGTCAAGCATGGCACCTCTCCTTGTTGGCTCCTCTATTACTTGCAGGAGGAAGTTGTCTTCTGCACAACCTCCTGGATTGCTTGTGCTGGGCCGTACCGTCCCTCCAACAGATATCAGGGTGGTTGAAATCCCCTTGAGGACAAGGGACTGTGAGCGAGAGGCTGCTCCTATCTGTCTATAGAGAGCTTCATCCACAA